GGGGGGGGGGGGGGGGGGGGGAGAGAAAGAAAACCCACCGTTCCCTACCCATTGTAAGAACTTGATAGACTGTGTCATGCCATATTGTTTTTATAAACAGATATCTGTATAGTTAGTGTTCCCCATTAATTTATCAGAAGTATTCAGAGGACAGGACCTCAATCACCCCTTTATTAGGATGTACTCCTTTTCTTTCATACCAACTGCTGCCTCATTTTACCTCCTACCACAAAAATCACCTCCATCTTTTCCCTCTGTCTTCTCCCAGAAATACAAGCTCTCTCTTTCTATACCTACACACACTCAACTGTTCAGCAGATTGGTCTGTTATTGTCACATCTCACTTTTGATGTCCTTGCACTCCATGGTTCATAGCATTCATAGATGTTAACCCTGCACAGTGCTTGCACAGATGTCAAATTAGGGAGTGGCAATTTTGTGAAACTACATTATATCATTGTAAAAAAACCCTGTAATTTTCCTGATACCAGTCAAGCAATCCTTTTGATGTGATCACTCCTAGCTCAAGAAGGAATTCATTTTCCATGCAGGATGAAATTCCATTACTGAAAAGCCATTTGGGACTGGCAGCTTTGCAGACCCAAATCCTCTTCTTTTGCAGACCCACAGAAAGTTCCACCTGGTCTTAAGTTATTCCTTCAGTTTTGCAAGAGTGAACAAGAGAACTGTAGATCAAGAACACTCAACCTCTTAAACAGGGAGTAAACAAGATTTCTTGTCAGCTCTTGAGCTATTCGCTCCAAATGCATACTATAGTATGCCATGATTGAGTACATCCCACCTCCAGCCCAAGGTCAAGACTTCTTTTATATGTGATAAGCTCCTGACTCAGAAAGTACTTCTGGGAAAAAAAACCCAGAATCGTGTCTATTCTTTTTTAGAAAAAAGTGTTCAAATTGCATATGCAATTTCCAAGCAAATCTGCCAGTGAATGGTGTTCCATTTATAAAAAGACATTTTGGTATAAACAATGTCTATTTACACTTGTAGAAACAATTATAAACCTGCCTTTGGAGAAGGCACTTCTGTCTATTCTGATGAGACAAAACTTAACTGATCAAAGCACAGGATATGAACACATCTGATTCTCTGTTAAAGCACAGGTGAGAGCAGACCGGCTATCATCTCTATAGCACCCCTCACCCCCCACCCCACCCTCTGTTAGTTCTCTGGTCCACAGAGTTTGCTGCAGGCATACACCAGCTGTGGATAACCAGACAGCATTACATACCACTCTCTCCCCTTCCTTGATGGTCCTGCCCCAGGAAACAGTCCTTGTAATTTTCTATATGCAAAGACACCCCCAGAGTCAGGAAAATGCCTAGCAATGGAATTGTAATCAGTCTCTGTTCTCTTTACACCAGATGAGTGTCAGAAAATGTGCCTTTTAAAGTCCTTGAAGCTAGCAAAGATGGTTTCAATTTATTCTTGATTTAACCCCAGTGTTATTAAAGCTTAGACTATTACATTATTTTCCTCACTTCATCATTTTAGTCAAATTGACTCTCATATGAGAAAGTTAGGTTATACTCCCTCTGGCCCAGACACCAAAAGTTTCTTCTCATCTTACACTTTAGTTTAAGTTCTTCAGGGTATGGTTATGTGCAACATAAACACACAAGCAACAGGCAATATTTCATACAAGTTTTTTTCTTCCTCAAGTCATACTACCATTTCTATAGCTCAAGCCACAGAAGAAACTGAATTCAGTTATAACTAAAATCAAAGTATTGTGTTTATCCTCTATGTAAGCACTGGTGGTTATAAAAAAAATAAAATCACAAAAGGGAAAAAAACACCCAGAGAATTTAGGAGCCTTAAAAGGGATAATTATATCTGTTATGGATCCAGATAGAAGAGTAAACACATGGATCATTAAGAATGAGTGAAACTTGCTTCAAGACCTAGATTTTGTAATGTAATTTTCAAACAGTTGCCATAAACTGAGATAGCTTAAAATTTAAGTAATTATGTAATACTGAAGCTGATGAACTGTCTGTCTCCCACCTGCCCTGCCTACATCATAAATGTACAATAATCAAATGCATTTCCAATTAATTTAGTGAGAGAAAAATACCAGAGTGGGAACAAGAAACAGGTATCCACAGCTAAAACACAAAAAAAAACATGCCAATGAAATTCAGTGTTTGTAATAGCATAATTTCATTACAGGCTGTAGAAAGTGAGGAAGTGTGGGCAGAATTATGTAAAAGAATTGACACAATTAAGCAGTTCAAGCCTGTACATGATAAACATTTTGCACTATACAAGTTGCTCTGAATTGTCAAGAATAGTAATATTTATTTTAAACTCAATGTTCCAAAATAAGAGTACTATATTTCTAAAAAAGAAGGTAATCTATTTTCAGCTCAGCTAGAAGTGTCATAATAAATCAGAGGTAACATTTAAAAAAACCCAAAAAACCCAATCCTTAACTATAAACCTGCATAATCTATATAACACTTAAAGAACAAACAGAAAAAGCAGCAAATCTTTCACAAATACAATGAATCACAGGTTTCAACACACATTTGCTACACTCCACTGCCATCTGTCTATATAAAGAGATAATTAGCATTTTCAGGAACAAGAAATATAGTTTACAGTGGAGTATACTTGGTTCCAAATCAAGTTCATAAGATGCATGAGTATAGCATTTCTCTTTCCAAATATCAATCTCAGTTCCTCAACGAAGGTTATATATTTCTGGAAAAAGGGCCCACATTACTAAAAAGAATCTTCTGAGGAAAAAAATGCTATATGGCTTTCATATATAAAATTAAGAGCATAAGATACTCAGAGCTTAAATTCCTGAAAATGAGTCATCCTTTTCTTACACAATTTTATTTAACACAAAAACATCTTTTTCAAGCGTATTCCTACTAGCATGGTAGAATACAAATCACACTTCTGAGATACTTAACAGGAGAATTTGGGAATGAAATAGAAACTCCACACATTTGGCTCAGGTTCATCCTCTATTGTTACTTTACAGCTTCAACGGAGTGATCTCAGGGTGAACCTAGGCCCTGTTCAGGAGAAAGGCCCAATAATATAGAACCAAGGAGGAGGGGCATCTAGTACAAAATGATACAAAATGGCTGCATTAAGCACCAGACCCATCTCGTATACAACATCCTCTTGCTGCAGGAATCATTACAGATAATGAGTAGTACTTAAGTCTAATGACAAGCAAAACATTTTATAAACAACATAATGTTATTTTGATCCATCACAGGTACTATATTGCCCAAAGATGAGCATTTTCACACTGGGCGTGGAATTGCAAACACCCGATGCCTAATTTCCTCCCCTTCCCCCAAAGAAAAATCCTACAACCTCTGAACATATTTCACTTATTTTAAGTAGCCATATACTGAGAAACAGCTTTGACAAGACCAAATAATTCTTTCATGAGCACCCAGGGCAGAAGTAGAGGAGTATCTTATTATACAAGTGCTTTAATTGATCTATCCTCTCCACATTTATGGACTTCGTCCTTTATAGATTTCTAAAACTAAGAACGATTAGATGTTGTAAGAATGAAATTCTCACTTGCAAATCCTTAAGCAGTTCACTTCCATTGTTTCACTTGCAGCTATTTTTCTGTTAGTGCCATCTACTGGTTTAAATCTGTCATTAGGTTCTAAATCTTTGCTCATGTAAATTAAACATCAGACTTTCTATAAAACAAATCTTATTTACCTTATTCATGGAAATCATCATACACCACCATTAGTGGGCCTTCATTAAGACAAGTAAGGATTTGGCCCAAAGACTTTTACTATAACATCCCAAGAAGGAAAGTTAATATATTTATTCTCTTTTTAATACAAATTCTAAGTCCAGAATACCACATTTTTTATTTAAAAAAGGTAAATGCTGTGGACCCCCTTTACCTGTACTACCTTTCCAAAACACTCTATTAAAGATGGGGTGAGAGAGAATCAAAGATTTTGGTGTCTTTGTAGAATTTAAAATGTGCTGCTTGTCCAACCCAGAGTATTTTCTCAAATCACCACTATCCAAAAAAATAAAAAAATAAAATATACATTTCAAACTTCAAACTAAAAATCACCTACCAAATATGGGCATGACATTAGTGTTTACCCATGTAACGGCTCCTTCAGAATGATATCAATTCACCACTTGTAAAAGGGCCAAGTCCTGCAAAACTGTCTCTTGTCTTTAAAAGTGAGAATGTTTGAGGCTTTCAGTGTTTGCTGATTAAGCCATAGGTTTACTTCAAAACCTATTTTACTATTTCAAGGCAAATGTTCAGTCACATATCACCTACAGAATTCTTTGTTCAAGTTTTTGGTAAATTATTTAGAAAGATGTATCCAACTTCTGATGAAAACTAATTCACCATCCAAACAGCATGCCAAACAGGTAAGTTATCAAAATATCTCTCTTTATACAGCAACCAAGTGCTATTTCTGTATTGTATGACAGCAGTTTTCCCTGATTGATCAACATCACTGATTATGAAACATTTACATTTCACCGAAGATTGAAACAGCCTGTCTTATGCTGTGAAGTCGGGCTGACCAAATGCCACTTCTGTTATATGAACTCATTGCAAATTACCATCTGTAAGTTTTGTTTCTCCTTGTCTCTCATCCTTACCTTGTAATGCATCAGGATCTACTGGCAAGTGATCAGGCATTGACTTAGAGCTGAATTCTCTCTCTGCAAGGAACGTCTCATCTTTAGCTTCAGGCTGTACATCTAGCTCATTGATTTTCTTCTCCTCACTTGTGACTGGAGCTTCAGCAAGATTTTCAGATTGTTTGTCATCAACTTCTGTTACACATGCTGCAGATTTATAGCCTGCAGTAACTGTTCCAGTTTTGACCTCTGCAGCACTGCTAGGAAGAATGTCAATGGATCTCTCCCCCAAATCTTCTGTCTGCACTTCTTGCTCTTTATTCTCCTCCATATTGCTGGAGCCTACATTAATTGAGCATTCACAGTGATAATAACCAGATTCCTGTTTCTTCTTATGCATAGCACAAAGATCAATTTGACTGAAGACTTCTGTGCCAAAAAAGCTATCTTCATATTCCTTATATAGATCCGAATTTATTTTTCTGAAGCCCTAAATATTAAGGAAGTATTTTAACATTATACTGGCATCTTTAAGTATATAAGAACATTAAATATTTAATACAATATCAAATATATTTTCCCCCTGCAGGACCTGGTACCATTTAGTTATGTTTATAAATATTGGAAAAAAGCAACATGAAAAACAAGCCTTAGATATATAAAAAGTAATGAAATAGAGGCCTTGAGTAAAACAAGTTATTAGCACCACTTATACATTACAGACACATACACTTTCTTCCCCCCCCCCCCAACTCCCTCCCCCCTTCTCTTCCCCAAACAGAAAATTT